GGAATGAGAATGCTGCTCCAAGGGAAATTCAATGTGCGCAGAAGCCAACCCGTACAGGTCATCAGCTGCCCATCTCCATTCAAACCCAGCCCAGGCACCTGCTAGGTAATCAGACTTTTGCCATCTGATGACCATGCTAACAGATCAACTACTGATCTAGCCTCCCCCTCGGTGCTGGGGGAAGAGAAAACAAAGAGATGGCTGGGAAGAGGCTAGTCATGGGAGCAGGAGTGATGCTCCATATGTAGAAGGTCTCGAGACAGCCAGCCTGCACACCTCAGCCAGGCTCAGGGCAGTGACGTGCAGCTCCTTCAGGTGTGCTAACCAGCCCCCACGAGGGCCGAGGCTGGAAGCCACACAGTCAGTCCCCTTCCTCTGGGATGCCTGCCATCCATCACCCCTGCCCTAAGCACATCCCTCAGCCATGAATGAGGGTTCTGCTTAATCCATCACTTGGGTGACAAGATCTAAAAGTTGGTTCCATTCTGTAGAACAGAATCCATGAGAAATTCTAAAGACAAAGAGAGGGACCTTGGAGGACTGTGACCCACTCTTTACTTGGAGCACATTCTACAGAGCAGCTAGTGGGGATAAAATAAATCTCTGCAAATTAAAGGTGGGTTGGGTTTTGGAAGTTCAGTCCCTCTCCAAGACTGGCTTGACAAATACAGGAGCCCAGGCAAAAAATGTACACAGAGGCTGCTCGTGTTTGTATTTTTTTCTCACTTTTTACAAATGGTTAACTCCCAGACCTCTTACAAGTAGGAAAAAGGCAAACTGTAGAAAACTCCTAAACTTGCACTTGTCATTTATAAAAGCATCACCCCAGGATCTCTAAGGTCGTGGGCTCTCAAAAGAAAGAAACCCCCAGAGAACCGCCTGAAATCATTTTACAAGTGCTCTCCCCTATTCTTCCATGTAGTCATTCACCATGCCGTGCCCCCCATCTCCCGACCCCGCTGGAGGCTGAGAACTTCCTTCTAGCACCTCACAAGCAATGAAGCCCAGGACCAGGACCTGGCTGTGTTCAGTTACCCTGAAGGCTCCCCAAATCCTCCTCGTTCATTATCATCAAGACTCCAAAAAGAGGCACCATAGGAAAATCCACAAGCTTTGGTCAGCCAGGAAAAGCCACTCAGGGTAAATTCATGATCTCTAAACACATTTGCTTCCCAGCCATTCTTCAGACGACTTCAGTTGAAATAAAAAATTCACCTCTACCACCACTTCTGCAGCCTTTGGCTGTTTCAGCAGCAGATTGTCAGAGCTTAAGGGGCTGCTGGGGGCCCTTTCCCCTGCTCTGACATTCCTCTGTAGCCTCAATAAAATACATGTGGATGCACGTGTGTCCCCCACCCTCCAAACACACACAGACCCCATCCATCGCTCTTCAAGGGTGAGGACCAAAGGAGAAGGGGAGGGGTGGCCAGGACGTGAGTGCCCCAGATCAATGGATATTTGAAACTCAAACACATGGCCAGGACCTACACTGCACGTGTTAATTACCACACATGTGCCTGTAAAGGAGTCCGTGAAACACAAGGGGCCCAAAGATCAGAGCGAGGCAAGGACATTCCAAGGGATTAAATAAACAGTCTGAAGTTCTGACCCTCTCCCTTCCAGGAGCACGTGCATCTGGGTAAGATAACAGCGCCTCCCTCCCTCCTTACCCCCCTTCTCCCCTCGGGCCCCACACCTGTGGACCCAGGAGCCTCAGCAACCCAGGCCTCCCAGTCCAGGCCAACCAGCTGTGACCTGCTACCGCTTGGCCTCTCTCCCCCCTCCCTTCCTCCAGCTATCTCTCTGGGCCTCCTCCCCCAGCCTCCTCTCGCTCTGCCTTTCTGCTCTCCTTCGGAGGACTAATTCCTGGCTGGCAACCAGGCTCTCCAGCGCTGCACAATACGCCTTTTCATTCCTTCCAGGCAGAGAGAACCGATCCCTCCAGCCCTGTCAGTGGAGCATGTTCAGAGGCTGGGGAAAGAATAGGCTGGGTTCGCTCCTCCCCCACCACTCACACACCCAGCCCTCCAGCCTCACCTCCGTTCTGGCTAAACCCCTTACCCTGCACAAGGGCCAGGCCTAGCATCTGTCTGCGGCAGGCCTCAGGGCTGCGAGCTCCGGCTCTCTGGAGATGCCTTCGAGGAGACCCCACGTGTGGGCACGAGCTCAGACAAGGGGCCTTTGTGTCCTCCCACCTGCTGCCCTCGGAGCACATTCCATTCTTAAGTGGCAGCTGAAAGAGGGACCTCAGTGGGCCAACACAGGATATTACGAATGCCCTCTCGCACCCTGTCCCCATTCAAACCTCAGCTTCCTGGACAGGTGTGGCTTCAGGTGGCCCTTCCTACAGGTGGCCCCAAACTGCTTTTCACTGCACTGCCCATGGCAGACAAAGAGAAGAGGATCAGCACCTACTCTGATCCCCCAAAGTAGAAGGAAAGAGAGCCTGTTGGCAGAAGTCAATTCTCCAGGGGCAAGTGAACCCTAGCATC